ACTTCATTTTACATAATAAAGGGTAATTGCAAGAGCTTATTGCGATATAATAATGCGCTGCAAATCAATATGTAATTGTTATACGTGGGGGCCGCCAGACTTTCTGTATTGTGACACTCCGTACTCAGTGACAGTATACTCAATGACAGTATACTCAATGAAACAAGAGCTAAGCGAACATATATCAATTTGCGCAAGTAATTTAAACAAGGGAAATTTTCTCCTTCATTTTACATCAGAAAGAGTAATTGCAAGAGCTTATTGCGATATAATAATACGCTGCAAATCAATATGTAATTGTTAGACGTGCGGGCCGCCGGCCTTTCTGTATCGTGACACTCAGTACTCAGTGACAGTACTCAAAGAAACAAGAGCTAAGCGAACATATATGATTTCACTGTCTGAAATCAAATGTTTTTAAATGTGGCATAAGTGTCGCAATTCTGTTTGTTGGTATTTTGTAGGAAAATTGGGCCTTTGGAAAGGACAATCACAGTACTCGCCATAACATGAGTTAAGACAATGTCTATATCTCATATTAAGTTTGGAGGTTTTAATGAGTAATGTCAATTATTGCTTCAAATATACAATTTGATTTACCTACTTACCATGAGATTTTAAGGACAGTAACAATGAACAAAATGTTGTGTATATTTTATGTATTTATTTACAATACGACGAAAAATTAAGCAATTACTGTGAGTACTGTTCATGAGTACTGTCAGTTAGTTATTAAGCTACTAGAGTTCATTTATATGTATATATAGATTAATATTTTGTCCGATACGGCACCAGACTTAATTATTTGGTCAACATCACATCATAAGGACGACCCAATGTTCAATTAGCCTGACACGGTCTATGCATGCATGCCTCTACAATGGCCTCTACAATGGCATCAGCTCTTTTTGTAAGAAATTTCTGAGTGTCCGCTCTGCTGTATGTGGCTATAAACACGATTCGTTGTTGCGCACGTGATATATTCCTCATATCCATAATTATGATATGTTGGATCTTACACAGCAAGATTAATTAAAAATTCTATTTGTCAATTGGCATGTGTAGCTTTAACTGAAAATATGTATACTAAAATATATCTATAATTACGTTGTATCAGTCTGCCTTTATAACCATTACGGTCCGTTCAAAATAGACATATATGCTATTTGAAGAGAAGATTAAGGCCCTACCCAGAAATCCGGTCTCAAATTACAGTACACAATATTTATTGATATCTACCTATCATTCAATATTTAGGAATACCACAATGACTTTTGAAGTGTTATCCAGTAGTACAAGAACATAAGTACATTTTTGAATATTTCTACAACTGGTGTTCTAAATTTAATACATATATATGTAAAGGATTAAAAACATAATTTTCGGACAATCTTGGCCAAAAGTTCGTAGAACGACAAAACAAATTTGCAACTTTTTAATATACTTGGGTTTTAAAATCATTTTGCACCTCCCCCCCGCTCCCCCCATTCAATGTTGCTCTCCCACATTTCTAGTACACGTGCAATTTTGTTGTAGAGTAGGTCAGATCATAAACATACACGAAACGGCAACATTGAATGGGGGGAAGGGGGGCGCGAGGCCTTAAAAATGCATAAAAATTTATCGTCGTCCTACGGTTTATGGCCAAGATTGTAGATTCAACAACTTGCCACAGTTGGTTCTATTTGCTACATGAGCGAAGCATTGATCCCAAGATGCATTCAGTAGAAACCATGGTATTAAATAAAAACAATTTGATCTATAAAGTTAAAAAGTGTATAAAATTGAATTTTTCAAGAGTAAACTGTCAGTCTTCCTCAAATATGCTAAAATGATTGAACGAGGCATAATGAATTACGATAAAATGAGTAGCGAAGTTTTTGATTTTACAACTCTATTATGGTAGCTTTTACACCAGTTTTGAAAAATGTTAAACTTATTAAACTTGTGCTCTTTAGCAGTAATTTAAGAAAGCAAATTAACCACTAGTCATGCCATCACCAAAGCAGTAAATTAAGATTTGGCATTTGAAGTTGACTATTGGTGTATAAATTTTATGCTTGAACTGCTACTAGCCCTCGTAGCAGAGGACATTGCTTCATGGGTACTAAAGTAAGGAATGACCTACAACAACCTGCGCAAGATTTATGCAGAAAACAAGATGGTGGCAGTAAAATAGACTAGATTAATTAGTCCTTTTAAAGTGTTTTCAAGTAAAAATAGTCAAATGAATTATTCTTTTGGATATCATTGTACATCAGCTCTTGGGCAAACGTCATTTATTAAATATATATGTTTAAATAAAAAAAATCATAGCCAACAGAAGCCTCTGCAGAGGAGACAGAGTCATTGTTTCATTGTAGTTATTTTATAGAGCAATTACCAAGTGGTTTGCAAAGCAGGAAGGATAGTGTGATCCATGCACTTGGGCAAAGCAGGAAGGATAGTGTGATCCATGCACTTGGGATGTTACTTGACTTGTGGTAAGCGTTTCCAAAAGTCTTGCGACATCCCTAGTGCATGGATCGTGCAATCATGCACAGAAAACCATTCGGTATTTCTTTAAAGACCAACTTTCGAATGCCTTGCTTTCACCATGGAGTTGAATACAGCTTTGTATGCCCCCCTTCAGATACGATTTCCTGCAGTAAACACAGATTTTCATTGTTCTCTTTCTGCACATAGACGTTCAGCAAAAGGCAGCCACTCTCGTTTTTGGGCATATGAAAAATACATGACTAGCTTCAGTGATTGCCCCGCATGTAAACCTAAGACTCAACACCAGAGTTTATTGTTTGTTGACTTCATAGATACTGTGCCTTCACATTCATTGTATAATCGAAAGTCAGTCTTAACATCTGGAGTGCAATTTGCCTTTGTTTTCAATAGGATGGTATCATGGAATGGACTACGATGAGTAACATGTGGCTTAAGCAGTTCATTGGTTGAAGACGTCACAATCAAGTGCCCGGTATTGCCCTCCTCTGCGTCCTATGCCACCTCAAGAAGCTCATTCTGAAGAGTTGCCTTGGGATCAACTTGCCCCGTTGGTGATGTCTGTGATGGAGGTGCTTATGTCGCTGTAGGTGATAGCTGCTCTAGTGAATATGGTCGTGTTGTTGATGGTTGTGGTGTCACTGGTGTTAATGGTTTTAGAGGTGTTGATGCTTGTATTGGTGCTTGTGGTAAGGGTTGTGAGATTGATGGCTGTTGTGGAAGTGGTGCTTGTGGCAGGTGATGCTGGGTGTGGGGATGCTGATGGTTATCCTGGTGCTGCTGGTGATTGTTGTGGGGTAGATGGCTGATTTGGAGCCAGCGGTTTTGCTTCAAGTGGTGGGAAGTTGCCTATTTCTGGAACACATCTGGTTTTGCTAAGGCATTGTCTCTCTGTGTTATACCTAGATTCAACAACTTGCCACAGTTGATTCTATTTCTACACAAGAGAAGCATTGGAAATGCATTCAGTTGAAACCATGGTATTAAATAAAAACAATTTGATCTATAAAGTTAAAAAGTTGATAAAATTGAATTTTTCAACGGTAAACTCCTCAAATATGCTAAAATAACTGAACGAGGCATAATGAATTATGCATTATGTATCTTCGTCACCTTATATGTACACACGATAACATGAACATCTCAAGAAGAGGTGACAGTGCTAAAGGCCCCTCATACAATATCATCGGGCGCCTGAAGCACTGGCAAAAACGGTTGCTGTGTGTCCTTTCAGTTCAATTTTATAGAGAAATAGTTTTGTTTGCGCTTGTGGGACTTGTAGTTTTATCCTAGATATACGCATGTGGGGAACACACCATACTTATATTCCTGTGTTTATCCAGTTTAACATGTTCTTCGAATTAACCTTATCATTAATGATAATATGTAAACTAGAACAGTATAATTGACCTCCGCTTTGTGGAGATTTTAATTTAGGGCGATTAATTAAACTGAAATATGTTCTATCATGATGTATTACATGCATGTCCTCACAAATGTCTAATGTAACGTTAGATAGGTTCATTGTCATACAGTCCCGACAAGCAGCAACGTAGTCTTCAAGCCGAAAATAATTACTTTTGATTTTGGTTGGTAATGATAATACTATAGATAATTACTTTGGACAAACTAGCATTATTGGATATATTGCAGCCAGCTTCTACCTTCGGCCTCAGCTGGCTGCAATATATCCAATAATGCTGTTGCATGGCCTCAGGCTCAGTAATTATCTAATAAATAACTGATCCACCATTAGTAATAGTTGTACCACAGTCGAAGAATGTAATTAGTGGACAGTTGGCAAAATTGTTGTCTACCAGTTACACTAAGAACCATCCATAAAATGCTTAGCAGTATCAAATGACTGAATTCCTGCAATATACTGCGCCCTTTTCTCCTCAGTGTCACAATCTGCAGGATATCCACTTGCCTGAAGAAGAGTAAGAGTAAGGATAATAAGTCATAATTGATAAGTAACATATGAAAAACAATATTAATATCTTACCTCTTGCTTAATCTTGAGGAAGGTATCCACGTAGTCTTTGAAAAGGCCATCTGTTTGATTAGGAGAGTGCCAAACTTCATCAATCTTGAACAAACAGTATCCCTTCTCCAACGCTTTCTGCAACTCGAGAGTGACCCAGGTACCATGTGGAGCTCTGTCAACGTCAAGGTGGTTACAGGGTTCTTGTTGCAGGGTGTCAGTGCAGGTGCGACACAACGGAAACATCAACTTGTCTTCAGTGCAGTGTGGTAGAACGGGATGGTAGAGACTACGAGGAGGAAGAACAGAACATTTCACCAGACCAAAGTATGTGTCGATGGGAGCAAAGTTCTCTGTGATGATCTCTGGGTGACCCAGTGGGTAGTCGCCATATTTGTTGCACCTAATGTTAATAGTGATGTTATTACTAAGGTCAATGACAGGTACATTTTACCTTAACGTTAAAAGTTTTTACATACATCAGAATATTCCTACAAAGAAAAAACAACAAAAACATATCGAAATACATACCATGGGTATAAACTGCAGAAATCCACGTAGTGGACTTTCTAGTCGGGTTGAGCAAATAAAATAAACGAGTCGAGTTCGTCCTCCCAATGAAGAAACTTTCTTGAGGTTGTAGGGGCTCAGAGATCTCGAAGCGTTCAAAAAAGGTCTTCATCTCGGGGTCAGTCTCGAGTTGTCGGCCGATGTCACAAGTCCAAATTTCCACAACGTTATATCCAGCATCTTTCCGGAACTGAATCTTTTCTTTCCACCTGTTGTTCACCATGGTTACTGGCATGACGGATCGAAATGTCGTCTCGTAGGGCAATCCAGGTTAACATCTTAGCGCAATCATCAAATGTTTGTTTTCTGGTGTATAACCACAGGCTGGGATGATAGCAATGGTATTCTCTTTCAGAAAGGTCTTTCAAAAGATGAGATTACAAGCAGAGGCGATGATGAGACAAGAGGCAAACGGATCGATGTCAGTGACTTCACAAAACAGGTCACAGAATTCAAGTCGACATCGGACTGGCAATAGCTTAGGAGTTTGGCTTGGAAGTCAAAGTTGTAGTCACGTTCGAGGAGGTTGTTGTACCATGTGTAGAATTTCTGTTGATCATCAGGCTTCATACTGTCGGGACCGTAAAACTTGGTGTCGGGAAATGGTCCAATGTAGCTCTGGTTCTCAGCACGGTTGAACTATGTTGACGTTCACCGATTCATCTAAGGTGAACTTGAGTGTTGCATGACTCTCTCCACAGCGGCCAGGAATTTTTCGGGGGTCTCGCGGAAGGAAAGGTCAAGAAATGGGATGGTCAAGTTGGTGGGAACTCAAGATAAGGCGAACGTGGTCATGAAGAGACATATAAACAGTTAAATGCAGAAAAGCACTGTTTAATATTGACATAACATCAGATACCCCATGTATGTTTAAAGGTTTAAACTGAACAGTGTAGTTGGTACCTGTAGTCCTGAACGTTCGGACATTGACCTGCTTCACTGACTTGATGGTGAAGGAATCTTCGGGTTTCGTGTTGTTGCTCCTCCTTTGTTTGTTGCCTTCACCAACTTGGCTTTCGAGTGCTTCAGGGATCTCGGGTTGTTCCTCAGCATAGCACAAGAACTCATCGTTGGCCCAATCCTCGTTGAATTGCCTTTTTTCCTCGTCAGTCCAATTTGCCATCAAACCAGGCACAACGCCGACTGGCATCTCAATCTCTTGTTGGATAACTTCGGCCATAGCATTGGTCCAAAACATAATCTTCTGTTGAAGGACAAGCCGTTTCTGCTCCTCTGTGAGCACCAACGATTGCTCCAAAAACTCAAGAGCGCTCTCACTCTCACAAGACTTGATGAGATCAACAATATCAATCTGAAACGCAAAGTAAAAATACATAAATATACAGCATAGTTTTATTCGAATATAAACAGGTAAAAAAAAATGTTAAACACATACACACAAACACACACACACACTTACTTACTTACTTACCGTTTGAGACATTTTAATCGCAGTGAAGAATAACTTTCGATGATATTGTACGAGAACAGAATTAGAATGAGACGTCGTGATGCTGTAACTTTCTCTATGGTAACAGCTGTGGTTCACAAACTAAAAAATACAAAGCTAATGACTGGGTTGGGGAGTGGGATTCTCATGACTCATCAGAACTGCTACTTCCCTGAGGCTATGAAACAGGAACAGCAGATAGGAACAGGATCAATATATTCGTCACTGCAAATAAAAACTTTTTTATAGACATAATTTACATGGCGCTACTTAAAATTATAATATGAGCCAAACTAGTAAGATATAAGTATGAATACTTGGCTATTATGTATGTAACAAACAACTAAACATGTGCTCAAGGCTCATTTTACTTCGCCTAGGAATCAGAGATTTTTATGCCTAAAACACCATAAATTTTCGTCAACAATATAATAAATATGTTTGTCAATTTCAGTATGAAAGGATTATTTCAACACAAAAAAGCGATATGAGGGGACATACTTGGTTGTACTAGTGAAGCTATACTAAATGGAAATAAATTTACAATGCCATGGCAACTGCAAAACATTGAAATAGAAATTGTCTAGAAATGATAAAAATACTTGCCTTGAAACTCCAGACACGACTCCCAATGCCAGGTTGAGATACTTGTCTTCATACGAAGGCATTCCATCATTACTAGCACTATCAGTTTGCAAAATAAAGCCAAGAACGTCTTCAGGATGCAATTCAAACAATACAATTACAACACAATACATTAGAACGCTCATGCATTCTCGTGCGTGATAATCAGGATAATTGCTCTAAAAGGTTTGTTTTTCTGCCTAAGCCAATCAAATCCGCATCTGGGGTAAACAAACACTCTGGAAGTGATTTCTGCAGTCTCTTACCAGGAAACTGTAATGCTTTACCAAGAATTTGGCATCCGAAGTTGGCCGAACACTTTCCGACCATGAGAATCGCCATAATAGGCTTAGATTATTTTGCAATTTCCCGAGACTGCTCCAAGCTATAGAATGCAAGATGGCGATACGTGGGAAATTAATATTGGTGGATTGAATTGAGTTAATAAATATAAAAACGGAAATCAAAACACATGACCAAAATCAAAAAGCATATTAATTATAAAATAATGCATGTTGTTTATAGTGCCCAGATCTCAACGAGAATATAAATATTAAATAAAAACGAAGTATTGTTGTTGAGCTGTATCCACTTTTTGCCTCCAAACTTGTGTACTGAGTATTGCTTAAAATGTACTACATTTTCTTATGATCTTCGTATTTTTAAAGTCATTTTTCGTCCCAAATATTTTGTAATCGCGGATTCTAATCTACCTACGTAAATGAACATGAATCTGTATCACATATACAGATACGACATGCTTATGATTTTTCTTTGTGTTTTCTTCATGAATTATTGAGTTTTTTAACATTGTTTCCACCACAAAGCACGCCTAGCATTCTGTTATCTATAATAGCATTACTGGTATCAACTACAGACCACAGATAGTGCACTACACTTGGCACTCTGGGTGCAAATCTGTATACTATGCAGCTATGGTATTAATAAAATTGTGGCCAAATATCTACATATACTGGTAAACTTTGTAAGTCCAAATTGGTATATAATTTTTTAACTTGATATAAATGCATAAAGCAGACAAACAACTCATGAACTGGCAGTAAATAATACGCTCATACTTTATATCGCAGAAAGATGCTAGAAAAGATATACAACTCCTCCTTTCTTGGCATAGCAGGGGGTTTGACTTTGGAAAACCGTCGTTTTGAGCATGTGCGGGGCTAATGGACCATTCCCCAATTAACCAAAATTTTGAACTCAAGTCTAGACAAAAATTTAATCAAAGCTTGAAAAGAGCATCACAAAATTAGTAATATTCCAACATTTCATTGCAAAATGTTGTAAAATGCGGATAATTTTAGATTACAAATGGGAAATGGTTACCACTTACGTGCGTAATACAAAATGACTGAAAATTACAAACTTCAAAAGGCTATATTTTACAACATTTTGCAACAAAGCTTTGGAATATTACTATTTTGTGATGCTCTTTCAAGCTGTGATGAAATTTTCGTTTAGACTAGTTAAGATCAAAATTTTGGAAAAGTGGTAACCATTTTCCGTTTGTAATCTAAAATGACTGAAAATTGCAAATTTTGCAAGGCTATATTATCCACATTTGACAACATTTTGCAACAAAACTTTGGAATATTACTAATTTTGTGATGCTCTTTCATGCTATGATGGAACTTTGTCTAGACTTGTTGAGATCAAAATTTTGGTTAATTGGGGGAATGGTCCATTATCCAATCGGAAACCAGGATTTCTTGTATTAAATATTGTAGCAACTTGTAACACACAAGTTGCATGTAAATGAATTTGTTATATAGTTCGTGTCAAAGTTCAATTTTTCTGTTTGCCGATTGGTCAAAACTGTGTAACATGCTGGTCCACAAAACGTCATGTTCGGCAACCGGTCCGCAATCAAACATTTATTAACCGGTCACGTATACGTATGCGTGTCAACCATGAAGTTGCAAAGTTCATTTTTAAAACTTACTAAACATTTACGGCATTCAATTTATCCAGTTTTGGTTTCAAATTAAGTTCACAGTGAATTATTCATGCTTTGATACTTATATACTATATAACAAAACACTTATTTATTGAGACCTCAGGAAAGCAGTGTGTTTTGTAGCCCCTCGACCGCCGTTGTTGTGTTGTCTCGGGTCCACAAAACACACTGTTTCCCTCGGTCTCAGTAAATAAGTGATAAATATTACCTGGAAATGGGCTCTTGCAGAGTTGCAGTTGCTAGGTAACAGAGCTGTGAAATAGTGTAAATGTAATAGAAAGCAGAAAATGAAAATAATAAGACCAGAAAAATTACAATTGACTTTTTAAAGTTCAAGATTGGTTACTTTGAAAGATTGGACAATCATTTCTCTATTTTGTGGAAAGTTTTAGTCCTGCTAAGCAGGATAACTAGCTACACCATTGATGTAGGGTCTGATCACTGAGCTATACTTAATATATCTGGAGATCGTGCTCTCGACGAAAGTGTGGCCAAAAACATGGCGGATTTGACGTCACAATTGACCTATTTTCATGACAGTTTCCACTGACCCATGGCTCAAATCTGCGTGGGCGACAAAATTCACCCCCCCCCCTGATTTTACAGTGATTTATCATTTATGTACTGTTGTTTGTATTTAATAGTTGATCGACGATGGAGTGTATTTTGATTTTCGTCCTTTTGAAAATACAGTATTATTCTAACTGCACGTATAAATCAATAAAGACCGAAAGCCATTAATAAAAAAAAGACATGAATGGAGCTTGACGGCCACAAGAACAAAGCATGTAAGTCATTGAAATGATTTATCAATTCTTGTTGTATTGTGAATTTGTGTTGCAACTGACTATCAAGATTATTCTTTAAAACACGAGTATTATAACAATCCCCAGCAAGTAAAATTAAGCAAATATAGCTTGTTGAAAACCGTACTGCTATAAATTTCCCTGAGTGACAAAGGTTTTTTTAGAGATTTTAATACCAGTTTATTCTATTAGTAAATTGTGGGGAAAAGCAACTCTTTGGAATATAAAGCACTTATATCACCATTAAAGTTTTTTACACCTGTATGTATTCCGCTTTCAGGTATGAATTTATCAAGAAAATATGGGATATCTGTACTAAGTACCAGGTGGCAATGAAGAAAGTCAAGTGTATTTCTTTATAATGGTCTTCCTTGTAAAAGGCAATGGCACTATTTCATTGAACATTCAAGGAACAATCGCCTTTTAAAACAAATATGCACATTTTTATGCTCGAGTTACAATGTTTGATTTTGATATCTGCATTTTATGCGATTCATACCTTATTTTTAAGTGTTCCTCAAATATTGATTCAATACATTACCTTGGGCTGACCAATTCATTCCATCAAGATATTTGCTGTGTTGGTGTAATACATGTACTCAGGTGAATAAGATGCTTGTGTGATGTTACGTACTCTGAGTGGATATCCACACTGGGCAGGCTTGAAAAATATGCCTGGCCACAGTGGGATTTGAACCTACAACCTTTGGAATACTGGCCCAATGCTCTGCCAACTGAGCTATACAGTCGGGGCAGTTCGAGTATGCGATATTTCGGAACTGAGTCTAGTTCCTTCGATATCAGTGTAATCTAATAACCATGATATTTGTGAATATGATGCTTGTGTGATGTTACTCTGAGTGCATATCCACACCGGGTAAGCTTGAAAAATATGCCAAGCCACATTGGGATTCAAACCGACCTGACCGCGTAGCTCAGTTGACAGAGCATTGGCATTTGGGCTAGTATTCCAAAGGTCGTAGGTTCAAATCCCACTGTGGCCAGGCATATTTTTCAATCCTGCCCGGTGTAGATATACACTCAGAGTAACATCACACAAGCATCTCATTTCATCAAGTTCCTCCAGATATTCATATAAAGAGCCAATTCCAAGTACTGGAATTGGCTCTTTATATGAAAGAGCTGTGAAAATACTGTGAAAGAGCCAATTCCAAGTATTTCATCATTTTTGGTCACTTCCTTTCTATTTATGATTGGTTAGTTGCACAAACAACAAAGGTGATTGGTGCATTCAAACCATTTAACAGGAAGTTTACAATTATACTAGGAAGTGTATGAATATCTTGAGGAACTTAATCAAATGAATTGGTTAGCCGAGGTAATGTATTGAATCAATATTTGAGGAACACTTCAATTGGAACGACAGTGAAGAATTATTAAAAAAAATATTTTATTCAAAAAAAGATTTTCCAAGATAATTATATAATTACATTTAGTAATAAGAATAAATAATATATTCAATTTCAAATCACAACAAAATTTATTCTTTATTTTTAAACACATACAACACCAATTTAATTAAATAAACTGCTCAACCAATTCTATGCATGTCAATCCCTACTTGATGGTCAGCACCTACAGTAATTATGCTAGCCTAATTTGTACACTAACACAAATGGTCAAAATAAATGTAAATGTAGCAATCTTGGCTTAGCTAAACAGACCAAAATGTGTACAAATAACTTAAAGTTGTTAGCAGAAAAATTAAAGGAGATTGGCAATATATTTTGACATCTCATTTTTCTTTAAGATTTTGTTAGATAGTTAATAGAAAAGGTGTTTTTAGCTTCCAAAAATCGTACCCCTTGCGCTTAAAGATGTTTGCAAGAGTCAATTTCATATTGAAAGTCCGCCATTTTGAAATCCGATGAGAAAAAATTAATTTCGTAATTACAATTCGCATGTGACGTCATAAGCAAGGGAAGAAACTTGCGTTGTTTTCGCATAATATTGTAAACATGGAAGCTGCCAACGAATAGGACCTTAAAGGATACGAAATACAGCCATACATGTTCGAACCAAATCCAGATGACGAAATAGAAAGTGAAGATTCGGATTGTGAATTAACTTCGACAGAAGATAACCCCAATGAAGAATTTGAAGGAATTAATTTGTGGCGACTAACAACTCTTCAGTGGTGTAAATGTGGTCAGAGTCAGATTATGGCCAAAACAATCGAAAGCTTTTGTTGTCATGAAAAAGCCGTCGAATACGATGAATATGATGCAAAGCTAATATCAGCTCAGAATCAAGGGTTAACATGTATTTCATTATTGCCTGCTTTCGTGCAAAACATGTTGTCGCAAGATGTGCTCAAAGTTGATGTCGCACAATACTTGGAAGACAATTCTCCGCATGATGATGACGACCTTGCTAGAACGCACAAACTTTATCGGCTATCTGCATATCGACGATGTTCGAGATGGATTTTTCAAATTTTAGGCAAGAAATGTCGGAGAGTGTTTCCATCTTGTATTTATACATGTATACAAAAGAAATTCACTTCTCCTGATGGACTGTACACGCACTTTAAGTTTGCATCATAAAGGTGGGGTCAAGTTGATGAGAGTTGGCAGTCACGGATTTCTAGGACTAGGTTTGATGAGTGTTTCAATCAGTTAACTTAACTGAAATTAATTTAATTTAAAGTAAATAAGTCATACATGATAGTGCTCGGAAAAATCTAGCCAACATCCGTATGATTGTCAACTCTCATTCGATCCAGGCTTCGATAAAAATTATCATATGAGTGAATATTTTTCAATTTTATTTACTTTATAACTAAACGTTCTTACAAGCCTCTTTTACAACCGCAAGCAGACTTACACTTGCGAAGTTCATTTTTACATTTGCATCGTCTTGTGGCGCATTTTTGTCTTCGTCTACGCCTGGCAAAGCTGGCTTTGGTTGTTTACCATCTAGATACTTTTCCACTAGAGTGACGGGTTCTTCCGGAAGGAGTTCTTTGGAGTGGCTTATTGCTTTCTTGAGGGTGCTAAAGTCGTTTCGGAGCTTGAGGCATTCTTCTTGAACGGTCTGTATATATTCTATTATAAAATAAATACGGGTTTTAAACTGTTTTCATATTAAACATTTTATGTACAGCCTTTGTATAATATACATCACGATCAATTGATATGATCAATTATGTAATACATGATAGTTTTATGTCAAGTAAACTAAAAAATAGCATGCCAAATATGATTATTTCGTGTTGTGTGTGGTTGCACCAGGGTTGCACTTACTGTAGGTCGGTTGTTCTTTTAAAGGTTTAGCCACAGCCTTCTCCCCTTTGTTAGCTTTTGGGTAAACAATTGACCACTGACTGACCCCTTCAGCTGTAGTTGCTTGGCTCCTATTTGCGTTTTCATTATAATGTAGATTGGAGCAGAACAACCTAATTTGGGAAGTAAATCACATTAATTTTGTAAGACCGAGGTTAGTACTATGTAAAATTCCTTATGCTACGCAGTAACAAAATAGGAATGAATAAGGCTGGGGTACAAAGCTATGAACCTGGCCATGAGTGAGTGGTAAGGGTAGTATACATTCTTCGATGCAAATGTGTTGTCGAGTGAGTGTTTTGCTTCTAGTCCTGACGTCTGATGATAATTTGATAATTTCCGTATGGCTGTGAGTAGTCTTGGCCTAGTGATAATCTCGATCAACTTCTTATAAATCGCCGATCCTATACAAATATCGGTAGTATCGCTTGTTAATATATATACATACAAGTTCGCCCTATTTTGATGTCTTGAATCTGGCTGTAATTAACATATGTTCTTTGTTTCGGCTGGGTTTTTTTTCAAATTCCGGCACTATTGATGCTGGAAAAGGCCATAGACCTTATATATATATTAATATATAATGTAAGTCATACTACCTGTTTGTAACCATTTCCTTTCTATTGTTTCATGGGTACACTTCATAAACAACTTATTCTCATTGTGGACGTGCACATCCACAATATGATTCAGCAAACTTAGCCACTTTTCCTCCCTTTCAACAGGTGATTGGCTTGAAATGGCCACCCAATACATGTGGTTGATGATAGACTATAGAAAACAGTAATTGCACACAACAATTTAAACAAGTGGGCTACGACTACGTGCAAAATTTTCCATTCATCAACACCGCCATGTTTTAAGATAGTATTGTAGAACTGAAATTGAACGTTAAACATTCGCCTTAAAAGACTTTTGAGAATATCTGTAAAGTTCTAAAGAATTACAGTTGTTATCTACTGTAACTTAAGGAATAACAGCTGAATAATAATAAGAAAAGCAACTCAAGAAGAGAGCAAGTGCGGCTTGAGTGTGCTACACTAAGTAAATTGTCAAAAAATTTTAAACATCCCTTTTAGACACTTACGCCAATCCAAGGCTTTAATTTTCGAAACTTCTTTATTTTCACAACCTTCAGCAACCGTTTTTTTTCTCCTAAAAAAATGCATGAGCATGTACAATAAGTGATTTGTACAAGTAATATCATAGCTAGTGATTTTACCCGGCTGGTGTCCTACACTGGGAAAATCCCCATTTATTTGCCCAATAAACGAAAGCGGAATGTTAGTCACGGCCAATTGATTCATTTATTTGTCACATGCCGAAAAGTTGTACATTTCAAAACGTTGTACATTTCAAGTCGTACATTTCAAATCTTTAAAATGCAATGCTGTATTCGTTTTACAAATTCACAATACTCAAGTTTGCCGAGGTATTTCAGTATTACAATTCAATACGGTATGTTACAGTAATAACTGATTCGTAATTAGAACTATAAATTATGTAATGGTACTTATTAATTACGTTGTTTACGACTTTAATACAAGCACTGACGCTATCTAGTCAATTTCATATCGCGCACAGTAAGTCCTATTATTTATAGTAAGTTTATTTCTTGTGATTTTGTATACAGTAAACAGTGCAATACCTTTCGCTACATGTCAAACGTATGCGTGTACAATATCCGGCTTTTCTTGTGCGAGGTAAGACGAAACCTGAGAATGCCTATCTGTGACCAGCTTTTTCACGTTTACGTCAGATTGCTCCAAATACGCCATTTGTCGTTTTAGGGACTCCAGTTCCATCGCATTCGAATTCTTTACTTCAGTGCTCCACATTAATTAACATTCATAATGGTCGTAAAAATAAAGTTACGATCTTTCTAAAAGTGCCAGTTTATAATAGTATATACGGGTAAACCACATATTATAAATAATAAGTAATTGTCTAGTTATAATCACTGCGCAGTTCTCAGTTCTAAAATGTTGTATTTCGCGAGGTATCATCTGATGAGAAAGATCTTGACTCAATCTTTACGACCATAATTATGGAAACATGCATGCAGGCTTAATTAAATCTAGGAGTCAATTTCAGATAGATTGTATATTTCTTCAATTACCTTAATAACTTGAGTGTCCAGAATTATATTTCTGTCAACATCTAAGCTACTCCCTGAACCGAACAGTCCATTGTGCCCAGGACTGTCCACTCGCATGTCAGACGCAATACAAATTGGGTTGTCCTTAATGCTTTTAGCAAACACTGCTGCTGCCTTTTCCAGACGTTGAAAACAGCTGGGATAACATAGCTGGTCAGAAGATTGGAGAACTCCCTTCTCTTGAAGCACATAATTTTTGTGGCTAGCCCGTTTGCGGGCTAGCCATTATCACATAGTACACACTGAAACGCGATGAGCGATGATGATCATGGTGTCCAGTCCGCATTTTCGTAAAGTATCGGGAGCAATCGGAAGCGCCCGTATTTTTCTGCCGACATTTCACATTTGCATTTCGAGGCAATACTAGTGATGTTGTTAGTTTGTTACGACGCAGTACTGGTGAGGTTGTTAAACCAGAAAATTAAAATAAAGTTTATCTTCATGGCTTCAACCTATGGTGTCGAAACCGATCAGAAATTGCGCGTACTTGCCGTGTAAATATGGGTTTTGATTTGCACTTTTGACTGACTTGCGGGCCATTTGCCATCTTGAATTGTCTTCTTGTTGAGATTTCATATCTCAATTGGATTCGAAATGTTTGGTATTTTAAAGAAGGGGTATTGTTTGGAGGAGGTACGTTTATAATGCAGCGAATAAAACCAGCATTGGATAATTATGGTAAAAGACCAGAAACTGTACATCGAACTCGTTTATTTAACGACTAATTTAAAGGCTTTAAGTATACCTTTTCTTCAGACATTGACGGCGTCTCAAATGTCTACATATTTGTAATAAACCTATAAAGGATTATTGCGTCTGTCTGTCTTAGGAATTATATAGTGGAATAATTCAGCATGATTTGTCTCACGTTCTCTTATAAGTTGACTAATATTGCACTAAAAGTGGTAAAAGTTGGTGTGCTAACCAAGATTTCAGTGTATTTGTTTGCTAATATTGCTAGGCCTATATCTCAAACGCTTTTTGCCTATTAAAATATCATATGACACGCAATTTTAATTCCACGGCAAAACTCCTGTTGCGCAAATAACAAACGCGAGATTAAATAAATATGGCAGTATTACAGTTTAGTAATATTGCATTAAAAGTGGTAAAAGTTGGTGTACTAACCAAGATTTCAGTGTATTTGTTTGTCAATGTTGCTATATCTCAAACGCTATTTGACTATTAAAAATATCATATGACACGTAATTTTAATTCCACGGCAAAACTGCTGCTGCGCAAATAACAAACGCGAGATTAAATATATGGCAGTATTTTAATTTAATCATTTGTCACAACACAATCATTACGCATACATCTACAATAAACAGAGGACATAAGTGTGACTGGGGAAAGGAACAGGACTTGCGTCCCAATTGACACCTGACCCCAACATTATAACTAGACTTTGCTGCTTGTTGCACACCGAGCACAATGACTTTTCGCATGCATGATTCGTGAGAAAAGTACTGAGGTACACATGGGAATAGGTCATTAGTAAGTGAATGTCAATATTTCTAACTATTTCTCGAACAAATCACTAGCCTAACCAAAAACTTATTTTGCAACAGAATCATGTGGAGCCTCAGGAAGGCCGTGAGACCAAGTAAACAACAAGCAGCCAAGCACGTTAGAACAGTACATTACACAAATAACTTTTATAACTTATAGATCTAAGTAAAGCCAGGAGGACTGTAAGAATTTAACTTAGAAACATAATGTTTACGTATACTAATCTTGAAAGAGTTAAGCGAACCACAGATTTTTAGATCTGCTGGTAGGCTGTTCCACAGACTTGCAGATCTGACAAAGAACGAGTTTCTAAAGTACTGCTGTTTATGTTTTAAGAGGAAATAGTAATTATTTTCATTATAATTGCGAGATCTAAAACCAGGCTCGTACAAACATAAAAAGTTATTAACGTCCATAGGAATGAGTCCGGTTTTTGACTTATACAGTAAAATCAAGTCCGTGATCTCTCTGCGGAATTCTAACGGGAGGAGGTTGGTTGTGATCAATCTTTCCGTGTACGACATTTCCTTTGGGTAATTTAGAATGAACTTCGTTGCTCTCCGCTGAACGTTCTCGATTAATGATCGATGTTTAACGGCTCTGGGTGACCACACGTTACTAGCATACTCTAACTTGGGTCTGACGAGGGTGCAGTACAATAATCGCCTTGTAGCGAAATCAGTTATGCCCTTGCTTATCCTTTTAATGAGACCCAGTGTCTTGTTGGCTTTTGCTGCAATGTTCTCGATGTGTTTAAACCACGATAAATCGCTAGAGACTGTGATACCAAGGTCCGAGATATGCGTAACTTGTTCGAGTTGCTGTCCAGTAAGAATGTAGGATGTTTCAGTTTTCAATTTCTTTTTGGAGAAGTGCATAACTTTGCATTTCGTCGTGTTAAAATCCATTTTCATATCAACGCTCCATATCTGTAGGCTGTCAAGGTCGTGCTGGAGCGATGTACTAGCGTTAGGGAGGTCAAGAGATCTGTACAGTTTAGAATCGTCGGCAAAGAGTGCGAGTGTCGAATTTGCTTGTATGTAATTTTGAACGTCATTGCAGTAGATCAGAAACAAAAGTGGACCAAGTATGGAGCCTTGTGGTACGCCAGATGTAACCGGGAGCCAATCGGAACACACGCCATGAAGAACTACACGTTGTTTTCGATCTGTCAAGTAGCTTCGAAACCATGCAAGGAGAGGCCCGCCAATTCCGGAATTCTCGAGTTTCTTCAACAACAGATTGTGTGGAACTTTGTCAAAGGCTTTCGATAAATCGAGGTAAATAGCATCGACTTCCTTACCACTCGCAACATGTTCCAGAATGTCATGGTACACTTCTAACAGTTGGGTTGTTGTAGATTTCCCCCTCATGAAACCGTGTTGCATCTTGTAGATGAGTGGTGCTAAGTGGTAGTAGGAGTGACTGTGAAC